ATATATATATATATATATATATATATATATATATATATACATTATGGTAACGCCAATATTGCAATGTGCATATATTTCATCATCAAACTGTTTCTATGCTGTTGTTGTTGTGAAGCCTTAGGAAGAGACATGTATATATATATGTACATATGTACTATATATATATATGTATGTATATATATATATATATATATATATATATATATATATATATATATATATCAAGAGTACATAATAGAGAAGAGTATGACACGGTTTTAACAGCGTTTTGCATAGTTTTCAACTTGTAAATATTCTATCAATATGTGAATAAATATATTCAAACTTTACCTTGTTTTGTCTATGCTTCTCCCTTAATCATATTACACCACCAATTTACCTGAAAATCGTATGTGTTCTTCAAAAAAGTTCTTTGAATACGACACGGTTTCACACAGTTTTCCCAACAATTCGCATCTGAGCGGCGCATGTTGATATGCAGCGGCAGCACCAGGTTGTAACTACGGCACGCTGGGGGCTGTTAGGGATATTAGGGAAGCACAGTAACAGCACTTGTTTCGCTTCCTTATCATCAGGAACACGATGGCAACACAGCTAAAATCAACTGCTAGCTCGCCGTGAGCACACATTTATTTCTAGCACGCTGGAAACGCTACACGCTGAATACAATTAGATGCCTAATATCCCCAACAGCCCCCAGCGTTCCGTCATAGACAATAGAACACTAATCCGATAATAAACATTTGCCGCTCAGATACGAATTGTTGGGAAAACTGTGTGAAACCGTGTCGTATTTAAATTGCTTTTTTGAAGAACACATACGATTTTCAGGTAAATTGATGGTGCCATATGATTAAGGGTGAATCATAGACGAAAACAAGGTAAAGTTTGAATATATTTATTCCCATATTGATAGAATATTTACAAGTTGAAAACTATGCAAAACGCTGTTAAAACTGTTATGTCTCTATTAGGTGCTCTTGATCAGGGGCGTAAATCCCGGAGGGGATGCATCCCCCCCCCCCGCTCTTGAAAGATGGGATGGCCTGTACAAATATCCCCCCGGAGATTCAAAAAAAAAAGGGAAAAAAAAGCAAAAAAGTATGGTTGCAAACATACAAAAACACGTGAAATTGTGAGAAATTGCAATTCTTACCTGTGTTTTAATACATGTATTATTACTATAGTAACCTAACTGTGTACGCTCTCTGAAAAGTCATGAAAAGTGTTTTGAATCCTAACTTGTAGGGTTGATTCTAGGGTTGAGATAGTGTCATCAGACATGAGAATATGGCCCACAGTATGCCTCAGATTGCAGGAAAATGGCTTAAATATTTCAAAATTTTCTGGGTGGGCATGCCCCCAGACACCCCTAGCACTGGCATGCCTACGGCACGCGGGCCTGCCTGTGGCAGCCAAGGTTAATTTCGCCCCCCGGCTATCGCCGATCATCCCCCCACTCCTCGGTACAGATTTACGCCCCTGCTCTTGATATATATATAAATTGTACATATAAATACATGTACATGTAAATTGAACACGTAGATACATGTATGATGTATATGTAAATTGCAAATGTATATATAAATGAATATTTAATTTACATGTGTAAATACAGGTAGATGTAGAAACTATACATGTAAATACATGCACATGTAAGTTGTACAGGTAGATACATGTAGATGTAAATTGCACTTGTAAACATATGTACATGCAAATTACATGTGTAAACACATGGGCGTGTAGAAATTCTACATGTAGTGACCGTCGTCACGGCACAACAGACATCCATCCACGAGCCACCGATACTCACAGCAGACGAAACCCAGAGAGACCCACTCGGTGTGCGTCGCCCATGCCTCATAGTCAGGATCATCTGCAATGTCACACAGCCACACAATATTACACCATGACCGATCTGTATAACATATTATATACTAGTATAGTACTATAGTATATATACTATATATTATGTAACAAGAGGCAGGCCAAAGTCTCAGGTGAGGTGCCAAGCTTCTGGTGCCTCCTCAGATATGAGGCAATCTAAGAGGAAGCATAGGGGAGAAAAGAGATATTCACACAACGGAAAAATAAGCTGCCTCTGTTGCCCAACTCAACTCAACTGTTGCTACAGCTCAACTTCATAGGCAGTGCATAGCATCTGTATATACAGCCTTCCAGACATCAGCTTTGCGGCATATTGGCATCCATACGTACTGCCTACATGCTCACACGCGTGCCAGTGCACCCCGCATAGAAACGACACACATACGATTGGATTAAGACGTATTAAATACAGAGTTTCGCAATCATGACATACTACAGTTGTCTGACTTATACTCATATATGCCAATCAGCAACGAGTGGATCGAGTTGTCAGAGAATGTACAACCTATCGACCTAGGGGGCCGGTCGACATCCCGGTATGCTATTTGCTATTGCAGTCCACTCTGAGTAATACACAGACAAGCCGCCGGCCCAAGGTCGCAAGTTTCACATCCGAAGTACACAAGAGTTGGTAAGTGATACTAGCTTCGCTTCAGCAATGCTAAAGAAACATATATATTAAGAGTACATAATAGAGAGAAGAGTATGACACAGTTTTAACAGCGTTTTGCATAGTTTTCAACTTGTAAATATTCTATCAATATGTGAATAAATATATTCAAACTTTACCTTGTTTTCTTGTCTATGATTCTCCCTTAATCATATGACACCACCAATTTACCTGAAAATCGTATGTGTTCTTCAAAAAAGTTCTTTGAATACGACATGGTTTCACACAGTTTTCCCAACTATTCGCATCTGAGCGGCGAAAGTTTATTATCGGATTAGTGTTCTATTGTCTATGATGGAACGCTGAGGGCTGTTGGGGATATTAGGCATCGAATTGTATTCAGCATGTAGCGTTTCCAGCGTGCTAGAAATAAATGTGTGCTCACGGCGAGCTAGCAGCTGATTTGAGCTGTGTTGCCATCGTGTTCCTGATGATAAGGAAGCGAAAAAAGTGCTGTTACTGTGCTTACCAAATATCCCCAACAGCCCCCAGCGTCCCGTAGTTACAACCTGGTGCTGCCGCCGCATATCAACATTCGCCGCTCAGATGCGAATAGTTGGGAAAACTGTGTGAAACCATGTCGTATTCAAAGAACTTTTTTGAAGAACATACGATTTTCAGGTAAATTGGTGGTGTCATATGATTAAGGGAGAATCATAGATGAAAACAAGGTGAAGTTTGAATATATTTATTCGCATATTGATAGAATATTTACAAGTTGAAAACTATGCAAAACGCTGTTAAACCGGTGTCATACTCTTCTCTCTATTATGTACTCTTGATATATATGTATATACATACATATATAGGCAGGAGCAAGTGTAGTAACGACTTACTGGACAACCTGACCGTCTCCACCAGGAGCCAAATACCATTTGCGGCGACGATGGCATCTGAAATTGTCGAAGCAATGATCGCGGGATGTTATAACGATCACTTACACAGAGAGCAGCCATTTCACAATGTGAAGATTACTCTTAATTCCTAAGTACCTACTCCAAATTGTATTTTTTTCTACAAATTTTAAAAACACGAATTTTTTTAACAAGTCGAAGTAAGCTGAGGGATATTTACCTGCTGCTACGTTCTTCACATGGTAATGTTGCTGATTGCTTACGATGGTATATCTTTAAAACAATGTGGGTGCAGTTACTCTACTTTGAAATTCCAATGAAATGTTTGAGATTTTACGCACATTTCCGTCAAGCGTTTAGGGGCAGTTTAGCTAATCCTACGGTTACTCACTGATTCCGTAGTCACACCACTTCCATGTCACCAGGGAATGAATTGCTACAACAAGGAAATGCTAATTTTAATATAGCATATAGACATGAAATGCAAGAAACATCTTTTGTCAATCATAAATTATGTTTAAACTCATATTGAAGGAATTTCTTTAACATTTTTCACGTGTATGATTATGTATATTATATATGTACTAGCAGGATACCCGGCGTTGCACGGGGAAATCAATGGCGTTACTCAGTTGGTGACCGCTTGGTTGAAAGAAAATACCCCAAAAAATCTAACTATCTATCTATCCATGCATCCATATATCCATGCATCCATCCATCCATTCCATTCCATGCCATCCCATCCAATCCCATTGCACCGCATCCCATCCCATCCCATATCCCATATCCCATCTCATCCCATCTCATGCCATCCCATGCCATCCCATGCCATGCCATGCCATCGCACCACATCCCATCCCATCCCATCCCATCCCATCCCATCCCATCCCATCCCATCCCATCCCATCGCATGCCATCGCATGCCATCACATCCCATCCCAAACCGTAAAAAATAATAAGAAATCAAAAGATAAAAGACAAAAAGTACAAATTAAAAAATGTAAAAAAATACATACTAGAGGTAGGTAAAGGGAAAAAAGCAAAAAGGGGAAAATAAGTTTCCCAGCTGGGACTCAAACCCGGAATCCATGTGTAGCAGACGAATGTTCTAGTGATGAGGCCAATGCGCCATTACGGTTATACACCATGGATTCAGACGTGATGTTGTGTGTACGTATGTGACCGCCATCTATTGATCAATAGCATTTTTTATGAATGTTTAACTTTTTAACTTTTTTTAATTTTTGTTTCAGCCAGAACCACCTCCCTGAAGTGCTGATTCTGAAAATATCTTTAGTTTTCCTCTAGGCTGTGGAGTTCTCTAGTTATGCGAGTACGGCCTAATTCGGCTGAACAACATTATATATATAGATTATCACACTACAGATGGCACCACATGATCACCTACAAAAAACGTATAGAGCTGGTGAAACAGTGACCACGTAACCTGAACATATACATTAATCCGTGGCATAATAACATGGTACGTGCATGCATGTATAGAAATATAGGAAAATACCTCTAAATATTGGGGTTAGAAGGCTGGGGCAGCAGACTTCAAACCACAATCGAGGTTGCTGTTTCTCCTGACAATTAGAAACACATCACATCAAGGTTAAATAATGGCAATGAGGTAAAAAAAAGCCTTCAACACATGCGGGTCATATCAACTTGCTTTTCACGGTATAGCAAAAGGTCAGAAAATCGGAAACAATATTACAATTGGCGTGACTACAGTAATTTGAGTAACAATTTCAAACCCTGAAGGAAATGTGATATGCATATATAGTATCAGTTCCTGAAAACATTACTAAAAACAGAAACTTCCTAGATGGCTAATTATTATTGCATGGTTAGTCTAACTGTAACTATGGTTTGTGGATTCCACAACATTGTATTGTAGCTTTACATACCTTCCAAGAGAGGGCAGCACAGCTGTATACATTGTAGAATTCGTCGAGGTTAAGAAAACCCGTTTTGCTTTCATTCATTGCTTTAAATGTCAGCAGTACCTCTTTTTTATCTAAAATGTCAATTTTGTAAAAATGATCGATTACCGAGTCTGATCTTCACTGACCGCAACGATACATGCAAGTTCTTCAACTACCATGCAAATATTTGACCAGAGCATCAAAACTTTAAATTCAACTGACGAATCCATTCGGCTGACTGAGCTACCAACCCAAGACATTATTGCCAAGTAAGTCAAGAGACAGAGATCAGTATATAGTTGGGCTACACACGTACACACCAATCTTTTGATATTGCACTTCTTTGCCAAGCATTGTTTTTAGAATTTTCTTGTGCAACAAAGTGAGAGCTGTCTATCGATCAATCATGCCAGGTAGATGCTGGGTAAATTGTGCAAAGTTGTACAAAGTTTTGTAACTTCAGCAACGATTTCTCCACCTGACTAATAGTACTTCTTCCTTGCACTTACTTCTATGTGGCTTATAATATTTCATCAATCCGAGGAAATGTCTCAAGGAAATGCTTGCAGGATTCTGTCAATCAATAAAACAAGACACACATATCAGATAAAATGCAACAGTTTTGGGGTTTTTAAATGTGTTTTTAAAAGTTGTCACAATTAAGATATCAGAATGTCAAGTCAAAGCCCACACAATCACAGATGTGCTTCATGGCCATAAGTTAAGCAAACGCCGACAATATTTGGAGAAATTTCTAAATGAGACTTCAATGAATTCCTCACTCACTCTCCTTTCACACGCGACCGTGACACCACCCCAAAGGTCACAGTCTAGAGGTCACACTACTAGAGGTTACTGGAAAGGACCTGGCACCACCAATCATATTGCGCATAAAGGTTGACTCGGGTTGACGGAAGTCACCTGAAGGTCAAACACACACACACACACACTACCTGTTTAGTGAGCAGTAGTTTGAAGGCATAATCGCAGCCTGCGCGTTTATGCTGCAGCAGCTTACAAAACTTGTTCTTCTCCATGCCAGTAAACGTGTCATAGACCACGGCAAGCACCTGTAGATGGCGGCACATGCAGGCATCAATCAACCCTTACAACTACCATTGCCTACATTATTACTGCTGTTGTTTAAATTTATTAATAGTAATTACTGCCATTAATATAGTTTAATTTCATTACTCCCATGAGACATATACTTATATAAAGCACGTTCTGTACAATGGTCCATCGTACGCAATTCAAAGATGCTGGATATGACACACAATCCGTTAGCTAGCCAAACTTAACAAAAAAAATTGGCAGACAATTTAGTTTACTAGTTAAAGAACTGCTCACCAAGTTCATAAGAAAGTAGAGCTCGATCGTCAGATACGAGATAAAAAAAATTGCCGACCACGGAGAGTTGTGGTAGGCTGGCATCATGACATCCGGATAGCTGCAACAGACACACATCATTACAACGCGCATGCAAGCACGCACGCACGCACGCACGCACGCACGCACGCACGCACATACATCAATTTTATTAACACATTACAAGCTCTAGTTCTCAGATAATACAGTTTCATAGTAAAATTTTACTCGGAATCAATCGAGAGAGCGTGTGACGGGTAAGAACCTGTAAGCGAATGCTGCTAGGCATGTGGGTAAATAAACCTTGTCATCCAGATTTGTATCATTCATATTCCATTTCTCTTAAATACAAAAGTCTAATACGTACAGTTAATCTTAGAGTTTCTGTTATTGAATAACATATATATTGCAGATAACCAATTACCCACTGCCCTACTGCTGCATTCCTATGCACACGCTGCTAAATAAGCCATATCGGAAAGTGCCCGCCACCATATTGAGATCAGATAAAAAATACAAGGGTGATAAAGTTGGCCTATATATAGG